AAACTATGTATTTGTCAATGTTATTGTGGCTTGTTAACATTTTTTTTATATTTTTAATATTTTTATTTTTTTTCAATTTTTCCTAATAAACAATCGTGGTACAAAGCTCAATAAAAATATTAAAAATATAAAAAAAATGTTAACAAGCCACAATAACATTGACAAATACNTCTTAATTTAAATTTTTATATAATAGTATAAAGAAAAATATTTTTTTAATTCATTTAATTTTTAGAAACTTTAATTATTACCAGTTTAATTTAATTTTCTTTTATATATTTGGTGTTATTGCTATAAAAAAGTGTGCATATATATATATATGTATATTAAGCTTTTTTAATTTTTGAAACTTATTTCTTTTTTTATTAATTTAATTTTTAGATTTTATTGTTTTAAATGCCTTTTCTAATTTTATTTAACTTTTTTTAATACAATTTTTAGATCTTGTTTTAATAGATTTTCCTTTAATTTTTCACTTTTGTCTTTTGAAAAAGGAGAATCTATTTATTTTGTAACACAAACGACAGAACGCTGCGCTCATAAAATGCATATGTGTACATAAAACTCACAGCTACATTCACAATAACCTCAAACCTTATAAATGCATTGTAAACCGTATAAACTTATAATTGTGTAAACCTTATAAATGAACTGTCAAAATTTGTGTGGAAACTCGTTTACACATTTCTGATAAATTTATCCAGCGATTTCACTGAATAAACTTGATAAACTGAAGACAATGCAACTCTGTCGCAACTCTAGCTATGTTTTCTTAGGCAATAATCGGGATCCGCATACAAATTTTGCACGCAAATTCAACAACGATATGATCCTGATAGAGATCTGGTTCAATTATTATCCCGTCTGTTTGTTTTGTTTCACTGATAATTCGCAAAGTTTGGTAGCCGTGACAAATGAATTCATACACAAACAGACATTCTGCCATTGTTTCTTATAACTTGCTTCAAATAAATAGCCTTTATGTTATATGTACATTTATTTAAATAGATACCTCGTAAATAAAATTTTTACCAATTTAGTGAGGTAGTTTCTATAATTTCTTTATCCCCGTGCTAGTAATATAAAGTTAGTGACACTGCGCTTTATAACCAAAGAAAACACGACTATTGTCGCATGTGTAAACGAAAAGAGAGTGTGGGTCGTTCATGTAACAGAGTGCATAAACTTATAAGATTATCTGCTTGATAAAGTTATCGGTTTAGATGAATACCTCTAATATGTTCGATAAGTATGTAAATTTGCGTTTATCTTTCAAACTATTCGTACACCCAAAACACTTCAGCGAGATCGAATGTGTCCCAATTTGCGCACGCAGCAGCGCATGTGACAATCATATAAGAGCAAACATACGCGCATGCGCTATATGCATTTACATGTTATCAACTTTCTTAAATAACAACAAAAAGAGAGAAATAGTTAACGCTGATTAAGTGATTATCTATGCCCATGCTCGAAAATAGAGTTGTCAAATGATCTCGAGAGTTCGAGTGCGCTTGTGTGGCATTTCTCTTTGTATTATTTTTCTTCTGCCAGTGTAAATAAGTATATGAAATCAACAAAAATAATAATGAATCTATTCAGCGGGTTAACTAAAATTGATTTTTCATGCGATGTAGCGGCATATTTAAGTAGAAAGATTAATAGTGGAAGATAAGCGGTCAAAATGTCAAAGCTTGGCGATTTGCCTTTGAAGCATAGAAAAGAAAGCTTATGACTTTTCCTAACTCTTTTGGAATTACTTTTATTAGACTTTTTTTTTTAAATAACGCGAATTAATTAAAATATACAATAATTTATTTATTATAGTAACTCATTACTATCATAGATATTACTATTAATGCTACAACACTAAAAAATATAAATCAATTAAAAATAAGTTCGTTACAATAAAAACTTAACTAAATTTATGAAATTTAAAATATTAAAAAAATTAAGTTAATACGTATTGCTCGACGCCCCTGCTAACTCACAGTTTTGTCACTTCCACATCGTTGCTCTTCTTCCGACTGAAGCAAGGGAAATAATACCATTTTTCATCTCGACAGAAGTGCTCACCATCCAGCAGCGTCTCTGGTAATTTTCTGCAGAACAAAAAAAAATAAACATTAAAATTTTAAACTTCCATCCAACAGTGCCCACTCACTGATTTAGCGTCTCCGGCAAGAGGAAGCACAATGCCGCGCCAATTAACATCAGCACTGCTATGACAATCGAAGGCAATGGCTTGAACACATTACTCAAGTAAATCAAATATGCGCTCAAGAAGCTGAATGCATAGCCGACCACATGTATATTGGCCACGCCACGCCCACGCACGCTTGTCGGTATAATTTCAGCGGCATATTGCGCCTCCGCTTCATAGGAGACAATGGCCACATAGCGTCCCAAGCCAATCATGCAGGCCACAAAGATGGCGTGCTCCTTCAAGTCGAGCAGCGCAACCAGTATGCCAGTGGCAGCGGTGACCAAACCGCCAAAGAAGAGCGAGCCGCAGGCCATACCCTTACGGCCAATGCGATTTTGAAGTAAAATAATTGTCAAACCAGCTGGTATGTACA